GGTCAGGTGTCAGGTGCAAAGCGTCAGCTCTTTACGACTCCGGCGAGTCCTCCGGCGGCCAGTTAGTTCTCTCCGGGACGGGGCGAGGTGCTCGCCGTCGACCGTCGTCACTTTTATTGCCATATTCGTCCGCGTCCTCGCGGCGGTAAAACAGCACGACACCTGTCGACGGGGTCCTCTCCCCGTCAATCCCGTCGACGTACTCGCACTCACGATCGCCGACGTCGTCGTCCTGGGCGAACGATTCCGTCATCGGCATGCACTGGGGCCGGGCGTTCCTGCACGCCCCGGCGGCGGGGCGGGACGGGGGCGCGGGGCGCAAGGTTCCAGAGACTTGAACGCCAGGCGTGACATTTGCGACGAGCGACGCCCCCTTTGCCTATCCCCTTCACCGCTCGCGCGAAGAAGACGGGGAGAAGGAGAGAGAGAGAGGGAGAGGGGGGGGGGGACGGGGACGAAGAGAGAACCCTCTCTCGCGGCAAGCTTCACCTTGAGTGGCGCTAGCCTGCTGCTGCTCGCTCTCGCCGGTCGCCGTGCACTTCGTAGGGGCGCACCAGAGGCCGACCGTTTAGTCCTCGCGCGGTTCGCGCACTGACTGATTAAGACCTTCACTCCAGAGGTCCCTCGGCGGCGGTGCGGATCTCCCCGAACTAAACGCCACGACAGTTGTTGTTCGCACTTTGCTCTCACAATCATCTCATTATTCCCATTCGGTGCGAAACTAAAAAGGGTTAGACGAGCGACCCGCGAAGTGCCTTGCGAGGCGTGCACGAGCAGCACCTAGAGCGTGGCCACTCGCCAGCAGCAGGGGGAGCACCCCGTCGACGTGCGCGAAGAGGGTCGCACGCACGCACGCACTCCCAGGGCTCAGCCTGCGGCAGGAATGCACGGGGCGAAACTCGTTCTGGGGTCCGCTTTAGGCCACGGCCTCCTGCAGGAGGCTGGCGCGCGGCCCGTGTGCGCCCGCGATCCTCATTTACTCACCTGAGCTTTGTGTAGAGGTTAGCAAATCCAGTAGCACATTGACGTACACTCGGCTTAGCACTCTCACTACCACGGCACTCGCTCGCACTCACTCGCGGCTCGGCTCCTGACTTGCCTTTTTTTCAGGCCAAAGTGTTCTTGGCCGGGGCGCGTCGCGGGGACCGGGGAGACCGGGGACCGGGGGTCGGACTCGACGCGGGCGCGTTCACCTCAAGACTAGCCAGCCTGCGCCGCCCGGCCCGGCCCGGCCCGGCGGCGTGGCGAGCGCGGCCAGGTAAGGGTCCGGGGCGCGGGGGGCGCGGGGGGCGCGCGGCGAGGCGCGGGGCCAGGGGCCGGAGCCACCTCAAGAACGGCTCCGGGAGGGTCGCCAGCGCCACCTGGCGGCAACCAGCTCCAGCTCACCGGCGCTCCGCCCCGCTCCGCCCCGCCGCCGCGCCCCTCCGCGCCCCACCGCGCCCCGCCGCGCCCCGCTCCGTCGCGATGTGTTGAGTACCTCGGACAGACGCGTGGCGTGGCGTGGCGCGGCGGGGCGGCGGCCGATGAACCGGGACGGGTAGTCTCTGAGTAGCGGTGAGGTGCCGCGTCCCGGGGCCCGGCCCGGCCCGGCTCGGCCCGCCTCGGCCACCATCGCCATTCTCGTGCACACACGTCCCCGTGCCGTCCCCGTGACGACCCGTGACGAGCATGCTCATGCCCCTCGGCACATACCACCGTCACGCGGCGGCGCGCATTCCCTCCGTGTGGCGCTCCGAGCGCCCGGGTGGCGCGGGCTCTGCAACCCGCGCGGGCGGCGCGCCGACCGGGCCTGTCTACCTCGGTGCGCTCGGGGGCGCGGCGGCGGCGGCTAGCGCACGCACAGATACGCGCTCTTTAGACGACAGACTGTCCCTACCGGAGAGAAAGGTGCCTTCCCACTTCCTCACTCTTTTTATTACACACTACGCATGTCTCAACTCTTTTTACAAACTTTGGTGCAATTTTCATTATCATTTCTTTAAAAATATGTCGTTGTTGTTACTTTGAGCAGCAGAACGCCGCCGCCCAGCTTCTTCTTTATGCGCGAGCCTTCTCAGTAAACTAAAGGCACGGAATGTTGCGGGCCGTAGACTTTGGTATCCGCACCAAGCCTTCCCGTCCACGCGCGCGTCCGCGTCTGTGTGTGTCTGGCAGGGGCATAACATATATATACCCTCACCGCGCACGTCTCCTGAGGGCCTTGCACTGCAAAGGGCTGCGACCACGTCGATGTCACCGACGGCGGGTAGCTTGGCGAGAGAGGCACCCCTCGCTCGCGGCCCCCTTCTCCCTTCTATGCCCCCCCCCC